GGACAACTCATGGAATGTTAATGAAGTCCGAAAAGGCCCTAGGCCAAAGTCCACCTCAAAGAAGTGTTAATGAACAGCCCCCAGCAAACTTAAAGATAGCCCATCACAAAGAAGTGTCCCACCCCTCGGGCCTTCCAACCTACATTCCATCACCAAAACTATAAAAAAGGGGAAACAATTGCACTTCCACGGATTCCACCTCTTGGGTCCCCTTCTTCCTCCAGGAGAAGTCTTTTCTGCCTACCTTTAATAAACTTCTAATTTCTATTCTGACCTTGCCTCGGCGTGCTTCTTTGGTGTTATTCTTCAACATGGGGGAAGCAAGGACTCGTCACCGGTCAACAGCGGTAACACTGCCAAAAATTAAGTTCCAGTACCAGGATTATACTCAGCTTACAGTGGGTTCACTCCCTCATAAACACGTTAAGTGGGAAGTGTGGTCCACACACCTAGCCTCAGCAACATAGTGTGATGCCATTCTTCTCACCAGATCCTGTGGCTGATAGCTGAAGCTTGCTGCCTCTCCTGCATGGAAAAGAGTGCTGTGTAACATTGCTGCCCTGGGAACAAATCAAATTCAAGGTGTGGTTTCTATTGAATGAAAATATTTTTGCAACATTGTGAAGTCTAAACTCACAAGTGGAGCCTTTGTAAATTGGGAACATCTGTTTTTTCTCAGCATTCTATTTTTCTGCTCCTTTATACCTCATTCCAGTGTATATTCACTTCCATCTTCCCTGTCAGGTCTCCTAACATTACTTCCCTTCCCAGTTTGGACTGTGTGATTTATCAGCATGTGAACTGCCTATGTCTGAGACTGTTGACTTGGGTCCCCATCAAGCCCTAACCCTAAGTCTGCATACCAAGCTCAGTCTCCAATTTCAGTTCTGTCCTTGATTTTTAACAAGTCCTCAGTTTTTTATTTGATTTCTTACAAACTGATCCCCTTTCCAACCTCTTCAACTCTATTAGAAGGTCATCGGAGTAATCTAAAAAATATTTTTTAAGCACTTAACACACATTGGTATCTGCAGTACCTATTCCTTTTCTAATGTGAAATCCATATTTCCTTCCAGATTGTACTTTAAAGACTCATGACAAACCTTTAAAGGCTGAGCAGACCCTTGAGTGACAGGTGATACTGTGACCGCTGTTGACCAGTGACGAGTCCTTGCTTCCCCAATGTTGAAGAATAACACCAGAGAAGCACGCCGACCAAGGACAGCAGAAAAGACTTCTCCAGGAGGAAGAAGGGGACCCAAGAGGTGGAATCCATTGAAGGGCAAATGTGTTCCCCTTTTTATTTTTTGGTGATGGAATGTAGGTGGGAAGGGTTGGGACACAGGTGGGCCATAGAAGTAATCTGGGCCTTTCCCTGTGGAGTTTGCTGTTCATTAACATTTCTTTGGGATGGGCTATCTCCAAATCTGTTGGGGCTGTTTCCTGGGCTTCATTAACATTTCTTTGGGATGGGCTGTCTTCAAATCTGTTGGGGCTGTTTCCTGGACTTCATTAACATTCAGAGAGTTGCTCAGCTTTTCTGGAAATTCATTCTCAACATGGCCTCCATTTTAGATTTCACTCGATATTAGACCTGATTTACCTAACTACACTGACTACCTAATTTTAAATCTGGCTTCAATACTGGGTGAGACCTTGGCAACCCTCAAATGGGATGTCAGTGCAGGTGGCATTCCTGAATAATCAGCACTTCACTCAAGTCCCATCCCTAAGTGACAGGCTCCAAACAGTGTTTCTGCTTTGTTTTTAGCAGATCACTAAAGATGAAAACTGGATTAAATTGGTCTAATGTAGGAATAGGAATACCAAGACATAAAAAGCCTTGGAGGAGACAGGGACCACTCTTTGCTACCCTTTATCCACAGCTCAGCCTCAGTCCTAGACACTAGGTGGATTCAATGCCTAGACTAATGGGGTACCATCTTCTGACCTAGGTTCCTTGAGGCAAACTCATTTGGGAGGTGACTGATGATTTAGCTTTATCAGACTAGCTCAGGATGCCTGCAAAGCATGCCCCTGGCTGTGTTCAGATGCATGTAACAAGGAGAGGTCTGAGGTAGACTCTTTGCATAGGAGTCTACTTGGTGTGGTGGCACATTCCTGTAATCCCAGCAACTCTGCAGACTGAGGAAGGAGGATTACAATTTCCAGGCCAGCCAGGAAAACTTTGTGAGACTCTTTATCAAAAATAAAAAGGACTAGGGATATACTCAGTGGTAAAGCACCCCTGGGTTACTGCTGAGGGCCATTACCAAGTAGGAATGACGCATCGAAATTTTCCTTGCCAAGCGTACCCCATGCTGCTTAGAGGACATTTGATGGAACATTGCATGCATGCTTTAATAAGGTGACCTTGCTCAAGGACCAAGGCGGATTCGGGTTTAGAGCTGATCAGGTTTGAGGATTAGGGTGTTCCTGCTGCTTGTTCCCATTGAGTTCTCGTGAGATTAAAATGGGATTTGGAGAGAGCCTCGTGGAGTAGGTGGTTTGTGCGGGAGACAGGAGAACGCGTTTGCCCCTGGACCTGTGTGGAGGTGGTGTGAGAGCTGGAATAAAGAATTGCTGTTTGAACCTACAAAGCTGTGAGTGCCTCGTGATTCTGGTGCCAAGCCGAGACATTGGCCTTGGCAGGTTACCCAATACCAAAAAATTTTTAAAAAGTTTATATTACACTGAAATGATAGATTTGTGTCTGTCTCCACTACTGCACAGGCTAGTTCTTAATGACCTTTGATTGCCTAGTGTCTAACACTGTACCTGGTACATCCTGGGTATCTAGTCAGTGTTGCTGAACTGAACTACTACTCTTTATTTTTATTTACTTATTTTGCTTTTGGAGGTTGAACCCCAGGGCGCTCAACCACTGAGCTACATCCCCAGCTTTTTTTTTTTTTAATTTTGAAATAGGATCTCACTAAGTTGCTGAGGCTGACCAAGGACCTGTGATCCTTCTGTTTTAGCCTCCAGAGTTGCTGGAATTGCAGGTGTGTGGGTTTAAATGTGGTGCATCTAATAGGAGAAAGTTACAGTTGTAGCTTCAAAGAGATTCTGTTGTACATGTTGGTTCTTTTACTCCCCTCCCTCCTGCTTGTGCTTATATTTCCTGTAAAAAATAAATAAATAAAGGATGACAAAGTATTTCTGTTTGTACAGACTTAAAATTGAAAAGTTGAACTATGGTTCTAAAGAGTGGGGTTTTGTAATGCTATCTGAGGTCATAGGAGTATTTTGACCATATCACGTTATTGATTGATTTGTGAATTCCATGGTGGCATCTTCAATGCCTTCACTAGACTCACTTATAGCAATCATGAATGATATTTATTAAAGCCTTAAAAATAATGGTTAGCCATGAATAGTGGTCTGAAGTGAAATTATGAACACAATTTTTATTCATTAGTTGAACTCCTTGAAACTGCATTGTGAGGTATAGGTGAACATTTGTGAAAGCAAAGGACTGTCATAGATTTATGGCTGTCTAGCATTTCGCACTAGAGGAGACAGTGATGTGCCCTCCTGTCAGCCACATCACTGGCTTCACAGCATCACAGGTGACATTTAATAAGCAAAGCCCTTTATTTGCAAGTGTTATATTAGCCTTTGACACCTTAACTGTACTTAATTTTGAGTGGGTAGGTAAAAGTGTCTAATGCTTTTTTATATTTTTTAATTAGTATTGTGTATAATTTTATATAAATGGTTGGGGCCACAGACATGCTGAAAATACACAGATATTTAAATGGGAAATTGTAGTGACATTTTTGTTTGACCAGAACAGTCACTGGGTGGCACTGTTGTATTAATGTCAACCTTAGCCTTACACTGAAAATTTTGCATTTTTAAAATATAAACAGTGATGGACATTGAACACAATGTTTTAGATGAGAAAATATATATATTCTAATTTTATTGATCTTAAAACACACATTCAAAGTTCAGGCTCAAGAGGAAAAGTATGGATTTAAGGTAGCTATCTGCCTTTGCCATCCTGTGTCTCTTGGCCTGTCTTTTACCCGGGCTCCTTTTCAGCAGTGGCTTGGGAATTTAGCCACTTATTTGTGATACACTAAACAGGATCTTTGCTAAGGACACAAATTAAATTTTCAGTTTGAAACCTGAAAATCCCTGACCTCACTAACAGTGGTGAGCTCCAAACCAGATGTCAGGAGGCGAGACACGCCATGTGCTGACCTCTCCACTGTCCTTCCTGACTTTCCCTCAAGGCTTGTGTTTATGTACTTGGTGCAGAGAAGCTTAGATTTCATGTTTGGGATTTTCTCAACCTTGGTGCTATGCTATCTTGTGGTATTTCCAGTGATTTCAAGGAAATTAGAGTTTCAAGAAAGAAAACATACGGATTAATTCTAACTTTACATTAGTCGTTTGTAACAGTCCTGGCGGTCAGGAAGCCCCCCTGCAGTGGCTGCGTCCCAGCAACCTGAGAGGCAGCTTCCCGGATGGTGGGTGGTGCCTGCTGGCCGCGTTCTCACGTTTCCAGTTCAACTGAAAGAATCTTGGCCCTTTTTGAAAGCTCAGCTCCATACATGATTTTGACACTCATGAGCGGGTGGAGAGAACCTGGAACTAAGGTGGGAAATCCAGGCCCGGAACACTCTCACCTTCCAGTGCAGGGCCTGGCTAGGGGACTCACCCCTTCTAGTCCCCTGGCTTCTCCCTCTGTCTCAGCCTCACCCCTTTGGGACCTGCACGCCTTTGGGACCCAAGTCCTCTGTAAGTCTAGAAACTGGCAGATTAGAAGTAAAGCATGGTGTGTTCGTTTGCTAGGGCTGCCACCGGTGCTGCAGGCTGGGCGGCTTAACAGATTCATTGTCTCAGTTCTGGAGCCAGAAATACAAGATTGAGGTTTCAGCACGGTTGATTTCTTCTGCAAGCCGTGGGGTCCCCTTGTTGCGCGTTCCCCCTGAACTTCTGGTAGTTTGTTGGTATTGCTTGACTTTTGTTAATTTATAGGTGTTCATCTCCTGTCTGCATCTCCACCTCTAAAACATGAAATCTAAGGTTCTCTGCACCAAGTACATTAGAACACAAGCCTTGAGGGAAAGTTGGGAAGGACAGTGGGGAGGTCGGCACGTGGCGTGTCCCGCCTCCCGTGCATTGCATGATCAGTGCATAGCGGTGCATAGCTGCATCTTCACCTAGCATTCTCTGCTGAGTGTGTGTGTGTCTGTCTGTGTCTCCACGTGTCCACACGTGCACGCCAGTTCAAATTTTCCCTTTTTTATAGAACACCAATCATTGGATAAAGCCTAGACTAAAGGCCTCATTTGAATTTGATTACCTTTTAAATACCCTGTTCCAAAATACAACCATATTCTGAAGTCTGGGGTTAAAACTTGAGCATCTCTTTTGATAGACACAATCCAACCCATAAAGAATGCTTCCCAGCATCTTAAACCCAAAGCTTTGCAGGATCTGTGAGCAGCCTGAGGGTTCAAGCCAGCACAATGGGCCTGCCCCTCAGAAAGACACAGCCTGTGGCTTTAATTATTTAGGGACACACTGAGTGTGTCAGGAGCACCCCTCCATCTCCTGCTTATCTTCTGCCCTGCCGCTCTGGGAGCAGTAGAGCCCAACCTGAATAGATTGGCGGCTCTGCGGGGGAGGCAGGCCCAGTGCTCTGGAGCAGTCTGCTCTTCCGAAGGAGAAAACAGCATGGCCTGTTTTAGAATGGCTGATCTCTGCCACCTCTCAAAACCGCTCCTGAAATCAACTCAGCGACGCTTTGGCTTAGAACACTGGAGATGCCACTGGCAGAAGGGAACTGTGTCTTCCCTTTTAGGGAGGAAAGAACAGCATTTACTCCATCAAGGGAAGAGGTGCAGCCCCTACTCAGAGGCGTGGGGCTCGCCATGGTTGCAGAGTCCATCGCGTTTCCTATACTGCACAGACTCCTGGCAGTGCTCTTTTGAGATGCAGTCACCCTGTGTCTCCCGATCCCTGTCGTCTTGGTTTCCCAAGTCCATACCAGCACAGCAACTCAGGCCTTAGGTCTTCCGTCCAGGGGAGCCATGACAGCTCTGCTGATGCCACACTTGTTCGTTTTGAGGAATAGCCCAAGCTCCCTCTTTCTCCCTGCTAAATCGGTGTGTCTCATTTCTTGATCTAGGTTCACAAACAGAGAAGACTATTTTAAAGTCACATGTTTTGCATGGATCTATGCTTCTTTCCTGCTCCAAGCGCACCAAAGCAAATGCTCATAGTAAGCCAATGTTGCAGAATATCAGATATACCCTTTATTTAGTGAAAATTTGAAAGAGAAATCAGGAGAAGCACCTTTTGTCTCTGACTATGGAATCTCTAATATCTGAAATATTGGAAAAATCCATTTATTTCTGAGCTGCCAGTGTCTCTGGAAAAGATACTCAAAAGTGGGCTGATTGCCAGAGGAGAGAAGACTATAATATTTATATAGGATTTATTAGAATAAACACCTCTGATGGCAACAAGCAAAGGCATAATTTTTTCTTAGGAGACAGCACAATAAATGTGCTGAATGTCTGGCTCAGCACACAATAACGACATTTTGTACAATGGTTCTAGAGAGAACTGTGCGGAGAGAAGATGGGCAGATGCGGCTGAGAACAGATGTGAAATGGCCTGTGGTCACACTGAGCCGGAGTCAGGATTGCATAAGCATCATGTCAGACCAGGAAGGGGTGAAGAGATCAGGTGGCCCAAGTATGGCATCTTGACCTGAACAGTAAGGTTAGACTAGTTCAAAGCACTTGTTTAGCATGTCCAGTGACACTTGGTCAAGAAGGACCAGTGTCTCAGGAATGACCAGGAGGTGCAGGGACCACTGTGCTGGGACCCGCGGCCAGGAGAGAGACCACACTCAACTGAATTCAGAATGGGCAGCCGGGGAATGGCAAGCAGGAGCAGGCTGGGGGCCGTGGATGAAGATTACGAAGAGCAGACCTGCGGGTAGGGGGTTCTGGCTCCACCAGGCCAACATGATTCTTGCTGGGTCAGGCCAGGCCATGGTACATCACCAGGGATGGTGGAGGAGGACCCTGGTCGGAGAGCAGGGATGAGTGTGTCTGGTGACTGACCTCGCAGAGTTCTGTTCTACACCTGGGCTTCACAGCTGGGCCCAGCAGAAGGCTCAGAAGCTTAACTAGGGAATGTGTCAGAGCCAAAAGCACAATTCAGGTTAATGCACTAGAAATACATTAATCACTTGGCACCCAGCACTTTAGAGTCTTGGGAACAGAGATCAAACAGTCCTACCTCTGCTGCTGGTGTCTTGTGCAGAACTGCAGACTCTATGCCTTCCTTGGTTTCGAAAGTCGAGTATGGGAAGGGCAGCTGAAGCTGTGGAAAAGTCAATTCCAGTGTGAGCAGTCATATCAGATGCTGTGATGGAGGGGTACTCAGTGCCTGACCTCTCGGAGCTCCTTCAGGACCTTCCTGGAGAAGGCAAGGCACAGCCTGCCACACCAAGGAAGTAAGAAGGGCTCCGGGAGGAGGGTGCAGCAGGCAGAGGCACAGAGGTGCATGCAGCAGAGTGGGGAGGTGAGTTCACCAGGCAGGGATGGCATACAGGCGAGAACCCAAGAGCCTTGAATATGACTTGACTTGATGTCAGGCTGTGATACGAAGAAAGCTACCACTTAAGAAGCAATGGAAGCAGCCCACGCAGGTGGAGCTGAGGTCTTGACTAGAGGGGCCTCAGGGAGGCACGAACACAGAGGCACTAGGAAGGCAGCTTTGGAGATGTCACCAGGGAGAGGAGCCTGAAGCTTCCAGGTATCTGACAAAGCAGCTGCCTCCCTGATGGGACTAAGTGCTGGAGCAGAATAAGTCTGTGTTCAAAATGAAAAATCAAAAACAAAATTAAAAATCTCAGTTTTGAGACAGAGCCACCTGTGGACATTCAAGTCAGTATTCCAGAAGGACATGTGAGTCTAAAGGTCAAGACAGAGTCAGACCAGAGTGCACATGAGGCACCAAGTCAGCTGGTTAATGAGAGTGCATGAGATCTTAGGATTGACATAGGGAAGACTGTCCACCTTACTTCAAAGCCAAACAAGCACCTGCAGGTGCATGCACACACACACACACACACACACACACACACACACACACACACACACTTAGAAACATCAGACAGGAAAAGAATAAGGAGCACATGCTTATAGATGCTGGAGGAGGGGCCTGTGGTTCCATAGGCAAGGGCGATGTGAAATGTGGCAGGGTCCCTCATCTTGAAGTTGAGTGTGGTATGCC